GATAAGAACTTCTAAACCGACCTGAATGCATACATAAAGGTTTAATCACTGCACTTTTAATTTGAAGTGACTGAATTATCGAGTACAGAGGAGCAGTTAAAAAAAGGCTGTGATGAAAATTGTGCAACAAATGAACCAACTACCTTTTATGGATGTTTTATGCAAAACACCCTCCAACATTTAAGGTTGATATCCAAACTGACCATAAGGGATTATGAAAGAACTCCTACAATAAACGAATAAATTGTACTCCGTATAGTATGAAATATAAATAATGAAAAGAAGCAAATATGTGAAAGAATAAATAGACCTCTTTCGTTACAACTGGTTTTTCATATATATATATATATATATATATATATATATATATATATATATATATATATATATATATATATATATATATACTAAGAAAGCTTTATATTTGATCTCTATTCTATATATTCTATTTGATATATATCTCTATTCTCATCAGGCCGGCCTGACGGGCTGCCCCATCCGGCCGAGCCCGTTTGGGCACCTTCCCGGTGGAATTTTTTGATGAAATTTTTTGAGCATGTTCCTCATCAAGTCTAGTTTGTCCATACCAAATTTCAGCTCAATATTGGATCGGGAAGGTTGTCAAATGATTTTTGCAAGTTAACTGGTCCGGAATATGTATTTTCCGGACCAGTTAACTTGCAAAAATCATTTGACGATCTTCCCCATCGAATTTTGAGCTGAAATTTAGTATGGACAAACTAGACTTGATGAGGAACATGCTCAAAACATTTCATCAAAAAATTCCACCGGGAAGGTGCCCAAACGGGCTCGGCCGGACGGGGCAGCCCGTCAGGCCGGCCTGATGAGATGATTTCTCTATATATATATATATATATTGAATCCTTAAAACAAAGTTCAAATAGAGCCCTCAAGCTGATGCTTCCTCATAATCCAGCTCAGCTACCGCGTCATGTAACAATGCCTCCTCCTCAAACACAGCTTGCCCTCAAGCTGTATTCACTTTTATGCAAACTCAGGAAACTGTTTAATAAAATCTTCATGCAGTTCCCAAGTTGCATCTTCCTTCTCAGCAGTTGACCATTGTATTAGCCAATAAACAGCAGCAACATTCCTTCTTTTAGCTATCTTTCTGTCCAATATAGCCACATGTTCTCTTCTCAACTGCCCATTATCATCCATGTTTGGCAAGGAGCTACTAATAGGAATAGGGCCATGATGTTTTTTAAGCTGGGAGATATGGAACACCGGATGCACTTTAGCATGGTCAGGTAGGTAGCTGCAATTTGTAGGTCACTGCTCCCATTCTATCCACTACTGTGAAAGGGCCAAAATATCTTGGGGACAACTTCATATTGGTTCTATAACTCACGGATTGTTGCCTGTAGGGTTGAAGCTTAACATATACCCAATCTCCAACTGCAAACTCCTTGTCACTTCTATGTTTGTCAGCCAAGTTCTTCATTCTGTCTTGGGCTCGTTTGATATGGAATTTCAACAAATTAATACATTCCTCCCTTGCCTTTAAACTCCTATCAACTGCATCAACTGTAGAGTCCCCAATAACATAGGGTATTTGGAGTGTAGGAGGCTGCCCATAAACAACTTCATAAGGAGTGTTATGACTTGAAGAATGGTAGTTAGTATTGTACCACCATTCTACTAACGGTATCCAATTAGCCAAATCTTTCGGTATTTCCCCAGTCATGCACCTTAAGTACGTCTTCAAGCATTTTTTAACTGCTTTAATCTGCCCATCAGACTGTGGATGATATGCAGTAGACATATGCAGCTCCACCTGTAAGAGTTTGAATAACTCTTGCCAAATTCTGCTCAAGAAAATCTTATCTCTGTCACTTACAATAGTCTTTGGAAGACCATGCAATTTAAAGATATTATCAAAATAAGCTATGGCCACCACGAAAGCTGTGTAAGGGTGAGTAAGTAGTATGAAATGAGCATACTTACTCAATCTATCCACTACCACTAAAATAGTATCTTTACCACAAGACTTATGTAACACCCTGGCCTCACAGGACCCGAACTAGTTACTTCGGACCAATAGTACTGTCCTCACAAACCACCACAAGCCTTTAACACGCACTTTGCCCTCACTCATGCGCGCCCTGAGAAACTTCCCAGGGGGTCACCCATCCAAGACTACTCTCGTGCGAGCACGCTTAACTTTGGAATTCTTGGGTAATGAGCTCCCTTAAAAGGAGATGCACCTCTGTTGGTATGAGTAGTACTATTAATCCTTTTCAATTAATCTTGGGTATTACAATCACCCTCACTTAGGAACGGAACGTCCTCGTTGCGCCCATAAATCAATCTCAAATCAAATCCTAGAATCTTCCCCCGCTAAGTGCCCGCCCGATATCCAACGGGTCAGCACACTGTCGCAGGGTTGCTCTGATACCATTTGTAAAGGTTGTTACAACTTAGGCAACCCTTCTATGAAGTTCATAGAGATATTGATCCAAATAGCCTTAGGAATAGGTAAAGGTTGAAGTAGTCCTGCTGGAGCTTGAAGGATAGGTTTGCATTTCTGACATACATCAAATTCTCTAATAGCCTCCCTGATGTCCTTCTTCATTTCTTCCAATAAAATAGGGTCTCAATTCTTTTATAAGTGGCCTGAGTTCCAGAATGTCCACCTATAGGTGAGGTATGCATGAGCAGAATGATTTCTTTCCTCAATTCCTCCTTCGGCCCCACCACCAATCTTCCTTTTCTCATCAACTTCCCATCCTGCCATGAAAATTTACTTTGAGTCAAAGATCCATCTTGTAAAGATTGAATCAGTTGCTGATTTTCCATGTTCTTCCAACTTTCTTTAATCTTCTGCAATAAGTCAGATTGGATCTCACTCACAATCAAACTCATAATTATACCACCATCAACTCTGGATAAGGAATCTGCTATCATATTTTCTTTTCCTTTCCTGTAACACACTTCATAATCTATACCTAAAAGTTTAGGTAAGCATTTGCTCTGAAATGGGGTGGTAATTTTTTGATCCAATAAGTATTTCAGGCTAAAGTGACCAGTCTTAATAATGAAGTGCCTTCCAGCTAAGTATGCTCTCCATTTTTTCACAGCAACGACAACTGCCAAAAGTTCCTTTTCATAAGTAGAAAGTGATATATTCTTCTCAGATGAGGCCTTGCTTACATAAGCAATCGGATGCCCATCTTGAGATAAGACTGCCCTAATACCAAGGTCAGAAGTATTTGTTTCTACCGTAAAGGGTTTTTCAAAATCAGGTAAAGCCAGCACTTGTGCCTTGCACATAGCCTGTTTAAGTTTGGAAAATGCCATCTCAGCCTCCACACCCCATGAAAAGGCATTCTTTTTAAGCAAGTTGGTTAAAGGTTTGGATAGCAGACCATACCCATGTATGAATTTCTTGCAATAACCTGTCAATCCAAGAAACCCCCTTAAAGCCTTCAAGTTCTTTGGATAAGGCCATTTCTGAATTGCTTGAATTTTCTTGGGGTCAGTAGCTACACCATCCTTAGAAATGATATGCCCAAGGTATTCATTTGTACATACTCCAAAAGAGCATTTACTACGGTTTGCAAAGACGGTGTTATCCTTCAAAATGCTGAGGGTCTGCTGCAAATGAAGTGCATGTGAGCTAACATCTAGACTGTATATAAGGATGTCATCAAAAAACACCAGTACAAACTTCCTGAGATATGGTTTAAAAATGGAGTTCATAAGGTTCTGAAAGGTGGATGGAGCATTTGTTAAGCCAAAAGACATGACCAAGAACTCATAGTGTCCTTCATGAGTTCTAAATGCTATTTTTTCAATGTCCTCTTCCTTCATTCTGATCTGCCAATAGCCAGATCTCAGGTCAATTTTGGAAAAAATGCAAGATCCTTTCAGCTCATCCAAAAGTTCATCTATCACAGGAATGGGGAAGTTGTCCTTAACTGTATGTTTGTTAAGTTCCCTATAGTCTACACAAAATCTCCAACTCCGATCCTTTTTCTTTATCATGACCACAGGTGAAGAGTAAGGGCTTTGGCTATTCCGGATAATTCCACTGTCTAGCATTTCTCTTGTTATTTCCTCAATGGCTGTTTTCTGTATGACTAGATATCTGTAAGGTCTAACATTTATAGGGGCGGTACCAGGCATGCACACTGTTTTGGCATGCACACATGTATAACTGGATATCTGTAAGGTCTAACAACTGTTTTGGTTCCTCAAACACATCCTGAAATTTTGCAAGTACTGCAAATATTTCCTCAGGCATGCACACTTTAGTAGGAGGTATCTTGTCTTGGGTTTCTTTTTGTTATTATAGCACCCTCATAAGATACAATTGTCCCCCATTTCTCTTGCCTCCCTTCTGAACTTCCTGACGTAAGTGCCTCTCATTAATCCATTGCATTCCCCCCTTTTCACTTCCCCTTAATACCACTCTTCTTCCCATGTACTGAAACTCCATAATCAGCTTGTCAAAACCCCATTTAATAGGACCTAGAGAAGCCAGCCATTGTATACCCAATACCATCTGACATCCACCCAAAGGCACAAGCATGGTGCTAGCAACAAACTCAGTATTATGTAGAGTCCATTTGAACTGTTTACAAAGCTGTGTAGTAATCATTTTCTCACCATTAGCCACTGAAATTTCCAAAGGATATGACTGAGAGATTCTACAACCCAACTTCTTGTCCGTGTTAATGTCCAAGAAATTATGTGTGCTACCCGAATCTATCAACATATTAAGGTCATGTTTATTAACCTTTCCTGTAACCTTCATGGTCTGGAATTGATGTTGTCCAGAAATAGCATTAAGAGATATCACAAGTGAGTTTTCCATGATTACAGGTTTTCCATTCTTGTTCTCTTCTCCCATTTCTTCTGTACATGAAGATTCCATAGTAAAATCTTCTTCACCTGATTCATCTTCCATAGGAATAATGCCAATCCTGGAAAATAGGGGTCATCACAATGGAAGCATTGATTCTTCCTTCTTCTCTCCTCAATATCCAAGGGTTGTAGGACTCTTCTTCCACTTATATAAGGTTTTTTATTGTGTGCAACACTGGTTGATGGAGTGGGAAGCAGTCCCCCCAATTTAGTTACAGGTTGAGGCACTCTAAACCCAGAATTTCCCATAGCATCTCTAGGTTTGTGAGACCAAGTGTCCAGACCTGTTCTGCTACTTTTCTTTAAGGCATTTAAACTTTGTTCTTGTAATCTGGAATAGTCCATAAAACTAGTTAGAGATCTAGGTTTAAATGCCTTAACAAAATGCTTGATAATGGGGCTCAAACCACCAATAAAACTGTCCAAAAAATATTCATCCGGAAGCCTGTTGTTTCTCTAAAGAATTAAATTGCGCAGGTTTTCAAATTGATTCAAGTACTCATCAAGAGAAGTAGTTTGTTGTAGTTTGTTAAATTCCTCCACAACTGTACTACCTATCTCTTCATTGAATGTTTTGCAGACATCAATTACAAATTGTTCCCAATTCACTCCTGGATTCACAGATATGTAACAGGTGTACCAAGATTCAGCACGATTTACCATATAAAGGGAAGCTAGGTCAACCTTCTGATGGTGTTTAATTTTACACAACTCAAAATATTTGGCACACAATGGTGACTGAGGATGATATGCACAAACGCTACCCCGAATTATTTGACTAGGTAACAGGGACGTAACCTCTCTTTAAGGAGGGTGGAATGTAATACTTAAGAATTTTGTCATTTGACTTTAGTTTAAGCTTCGGGACTAGGCATCTCTTAAAGGGGGATAAATTAAAACACCAGTATTAATAAAACAGTTGTAGCTTATGCTTCGAGGACGAAACATTCTTTAAGGGGGGTAGAATGTGACACCTCAAAATTTCAAAATAGAAACATAAAGTTAAAATAAAATAAAAATAAATTAGATGTTATAATCAAGGTGACAAATATAAAATTAATATTAAAGATGAAATAGGCAATGTTAAAATAATACTCCGTACATAAAATTATAAAAGTGTTTTTCTATAGGACCTAGATCAAGCCACCGAGGTGTTTTTTTAGTGTACATTAAAATACAAAATAATAACAACAGTATTTAAAAAGAGACAGTTTAAAGAAGTTGATCATGTAACAAAAGAAAATTATACACATGGATACATAGTATGCAACCTATGTAAATAACTGGCGGTTACTAAAAGAAGCTAACGGATGAAATAATGATCGTTACACCCATTAATACAAAATGAAAACATACAAACATGCATACATGAGGAATAAGCTCTACATGACTACATCACATACATACATGCTATGCACAAATCCAGTATACACATACTGTGTATATAATTATAACGAATGCATGATGCATGCACATACAATACACATATCATACATAACATATGCATGCATAATGTAGATACTAATATACCTACTACGTACATGCATACTATGTATTATTATACTCCGGAGTAATCATTACGGAGTAATCATTAGTAACGGTCCAAAATAGTAAAGCAATGCCATTATGGTAAGTTAAGGAGACCTTAAAAAACTATGAAAACCAACGGGCCGGAGTAAATTAAGGAGACGAAATGCGTATATATATGTGGATAGTCGAACGACCAGCTTCGTGCTATACCCCAAAGACATACTACATAGTACGTGCTAACTAATTAACGTACGAGAGAGCTGCCAGTAGCAAAGTCTATCGTTGTTGCAGAAGAAGGGCCGACCGGAGTAGGAAGACCCCAGAACTGTACTGCCATAGGCGCCACAGTGGGAAGATCTGCCGCTATCGATCAGTCCAACTCCGAAGAAGCTTCGCTGTTCCGTAGCCAAGTCGCCGGCGTCTACTTGCGAAGAAGACAATACGTACTCCTTGTTTCTTCTTCTTATTCTCTTGTAGTTCCGGGCCGGGTGGATTAGGGTAGCCGAGCCTTGTATTTTGTTGGGTTGTCCATAAGAATAAGAACAATAATAATAGTAATAATAATATTACTAATCTGCAAAATGGATTTATTAGAGATGAGAAATATTAATGATGAAATTGGCTTGATAGTAATCACTTGGATAAATTTGTTAGTTCACATAATAATTACATAATGTTAAATGATGAAATGAATTGATGGTTTAAGTAATATACGATTGTCATATTAAAATAATGATTATTTATTTGGACTTGGTACCGTAATTAGATCAAATAAAGTTGGATATATATTATTTTCACTAATTATTGGATTAATTGAAGTAAATTAATAAAATTAACATAATTACGGACTCAGAAATACTAAGTGTGTGATTATTTAATAAAATCAGACTAAATTGATGATGATTAGTTATTTAAATAATTGTTATAATATTCAGATGTACTATTAATTTCGATTACAGTAATCATGAAAACTGAATATTTTAATATAATTCCGATATTAACATATTTATTGGATTATGATAAAAAGATTATGATGAACTGAATTAGTTAATTAGTTAATACCTTTTATTTTCGGACCAGATTAAAAATTAATGAAGGATTATTGTATTAATTAACGAATTCATTTAAAATAGGATAAATAATATGAGATAGTTATTAAGTATAAAGATATTTATAATAAACTATAATCGAAGTAATTTGAATATGCTATAATTCATATAGTAATAATAATAATATTAAATTATAGTTAATTAATTTGATGTAGAATAAATTGATGGTGATTAATTAAATTGAAATTTGGTTATTTAATTAAATACACGTCGGTTATTATAATATAATTATAGAATTCAAATATTAGAAATTATGGCTGAAGTAATAAAATGATTTGATTCATAAAAAATGATTAACTCGAATAATTAATTCGTTAAATTAATAAGTTCGCATAAAAGAGAAAAATTGGATAAATTATAAAAAATACAAAAAAAAAACAAAAGTGACTGATTAAATAATCTTAATTAAAAAGGTGAATATTTAGAGACCGGAATAGAAGAGGAGAACTAGGGGCGTCAGGACCTACGGTAAGTTTCTCTGCCAATCCAAAATTGTTTCCTCGTATTATATGCTTATTATGCGTTATGTGATTATGTGTGAATTGTGAATTATGAGTATGTGATTTTGAGGAATACAAATTACGAGTACTTCTTGGGGTATTAAATATTTTTAAATACCTTTGAGACTAATTAGAGAGATTGAGAAGTATTTTTGAAGTATATCTTAATTCAAGATAAAAGTAAAGATTTTATAAGAGGTGAGCACCGCGGGAGAAATCCGCGGTGTCAGTTTTCCACATCCGGATAAATGTGGAGGGTGATTAGGGTTGCTACTACAAGAAGTACAATTGAGTTTGAAGTAACATTTGGATCTATGATCCCTTTTAAGAAGAAGTTATAGTAGTAGTCCCTAATCATTCAGAGATATCTTATTCAGGGGTAGTTGGTAGGCTGAGTCCTGATTACTCATGATGACTTACTACTCGGAGGGTTTGGAATCCCTTTTTGGGGTGCACACACTTAAGGTAGTCGTTTCGTTTCCACAAGAGCAGTTGTGGTACCGGCACTTGTTCGGGGTGGCTGTCCGTAACCATGGTCCACCGGGCTCAGTCGAAAGGTTGAGCACCGCCCTTCTAAATTACTAGGAAGTTAGAGAAGAAGTGATTTTTGAGATGATCAAAGAAGAAGAGAATTTTGGTGGAGTGAGTTCTTTTTATATAATAATATAAGAAAAACTATTTTTTCCAAACCTGATTATTTTACGAGGTTGGGTAGTACTTACTAAGCTCTAAAGCTAATTTTGTTTCCTTTGCTTTGCTTTGTTTTCTGCACTTTACTTGTGTAGGTGATGATGACTATGTTGATTGCATGCGTTTGAGAGCGGATTAGAGATGCCTTAGAGAAACTTAGCCAAGAATAAACATTTTAATTATGTCGAATATTTGTTTTACTTTATTTTTTTTAGTTGCCTGTGCATCCGGTTAGGAGATGGCCGGATGTGGTGGTAACACCCGTTTCCCTGTGGATGTTATTTCCGCAGCCAAACTTTTATCTATTTTGAATGAATAAAATAAGTTTATTATCAATAAATTATTATTTCGAGTATTATTTTGGGAGGGAAATTTGGGGGTGTTACAGCCTGCCTACCGGCCCAACCGGAAGCCTGCCTATCGGCCCAACCGGAAGCCTGCCTTCCGGCTTAGCAAGGAGTCTGACTTCTAGCCCATCCAAGAGCATGCCTCCAACCTAACGGGGAGCCTACCTCTGACCCAGCAGGTAGCTCACCTCCAGCCCAGCGGGGAGCCTGCCTTCTAGTTCAGCGGAAGCCTGCCGCCCAAGAAGCTCAAGCGTCCGGCCTGCAGCCAGGCCGACCCGCTAGCTAGCCAAGAAGAGTAACGGACGACAATTAATGCGCTATTAATTATGTATTTAATTCCATATTAATGTTGTAATTAATTTAGCCATTATTAGTCAGCGGTTACCATTTGTAATTGCCTATAAAAGGCAATTCAGATTTCAAATACAGACATGCTATTTCTGGCTACCAAATTCCCTTAACATTTTCCTTATTCGTATTGCTTTCTTGATTTCCTGCTTGAGTGTCTTTCGTGGCTTTCCTAAAAGCCTACGAGTGTCCTATTTTGGACCAACACACATATATGTGTGTGTATGTGTGTGTATTTGTTTTGTTTCAGGTTAGGTAATAAAGTAATGTAAAAATGTATTCTTGAAAACTATCCTATCAAAGTTTGGCACAAATAAATGTTCTACCGAAACATTCACTACTAATATCTTCATTTTTTTAATATGTTAAAAAAATGTTATAAAAATTGTTTTTTATTTCCATACAATCAATGCTTTATCAAACTAAATTAAATTCTACAAATGATGTTTTTACCAATTCAATTGAATGTATTTCAACTATTTATACCATTTATGACAAAAAAAAAACATTTATACCATTTTGTGGATGTAGTCAGAATTGATTTAATAATTTTTTTCTCTTACTAACAAATAGACATTGTAGAGTTAAGATCACATTCGGTAGAACTGAAATTGGCTGAATCTAGTAAAATAGATTAAATTCGGAAATTCATTTTGAGGCGGCTGAATTTAATTTGCTGAATTTGCTGAATTCGGAAATAGATTAATATTTAATTTTTCTAATAAATACTCTCGATCAAACATTAGATTGAAAATGATGTCACTTTTATAGCACTGCCAATATTACTTCATCGAAAATTCAATATATAGATCATGAAAGGTCTCTAATCTATCAATTAAACAGGAGAAGGGTTCGAAAAAATCAGTAAAGAAATGTGTCTTTCGTTGCTCTTCGCTAAATTAATTCATTGTCAAATAAAGACACAAGGGACATGAGAATACAATATGGGAAAGACAGACATTGAGACATACACGTGCTTTAATTTTGAGACTTTTACACCCTTAAGAAGGTAACGAAATCAAAACTCATCCAAGTTAAGAACGTTGACATTTAACACAAGGAATAACAAAAAGAGACAGTACACCCACAAAAGGAATTGAGCCAAAAGCTGAAAGAACCCTATCCAACATACTCCGTAACATATACTTCCTCCGTTCTTTTTTAGTTGCAACGGTCAACATTTCACACTTGCCAACGCACGTCTTTGACCGTAATTATATATTAATCTCTATTAGTAAAAAATATTTAAAAATTAGATTTTGAAAATTTGTAATGAGATGAATTGAACAATATTTTTTTTAAATAATAATTTTCATAAAATAATAACATAAAATGTAGTCAAAGTAGAACATGTGAATAGTGTAAAATTCAACATGTTGCGATTAAAAAGAGACGGAGGATAGTATCCCACAAGCCAGCTAGCTCAGTTCTCTCGTACGCAACAGCACAACGGCCAATAGGGGTACCCTTTGGTGTCGCACACACACCAATCGAGTACGTATGTACACCAGCTGCACCAAGAACACTGAGTTTAATTTATTTGTTTAATACTTCCTCCATCCCGCTACGATTGTTCTATTTTTCTTTTTCGGTCCGTCACACTAAGATTGTCCCATACCAAATTTGGTAAAGTTTGTGTGGTTCTAGATCATTCTTACTTTATTCATACTTTATCAATTCAATATCAACCGCATAAATAACTTTTTATTAATTTGCGTGACACTCCCTCTTGTAGTATTTAATATTTTTAGTCCTATGTTTTTTTCTGAAAGATTTTTAGCCCTATGTTATTCCTAACCTATTATTTAAACTATATTGCTATTCATGTTGAAAATCAATATACAATATAATTATGGTAAGATTATTACAAGATAATTTGATATATTCTAGGTGGAGTTGAACATACTACCTCCATTCTCTTTTAGTTGTAACGTTGGATTTTTTGCACTATTCACATATTCTACTTTGACTACATTTTATTAATTGATGTATTATAAATTAAATTTTTAAAAAATATTGTTAAATTCTTCTCATTCTAAATTTTCAAAATATGAATTTTTTAAATTTTTTACTAATACGGAATGAAAGATATTAATGGTCAAACTTGTGCATTGGCAAACGTGAAATGTTGACTGTTGCAATTAAAAAGGAACGGAGGAAGTAATTTCTTTTTGATAGGATGTGTTCAGGTTTGAATGATTATTATCCTTTTATATAACTACATTCGGAGGATTAATTATACGTGGTTTATATGAAGTTTTTGAGGATTACAATTTTTGGCAGCAAGACTGTTCATCACCCCTTGGCTCGCTTCGCGAGAACCGCTCCATCTTCTCCTTGTTGGGTGGGGTAATAGGGTAACCTTAAAAAGAAAAAATATCAAGGAAATTAAACTGCATGTAGTCTATACGTCAAAATTTTATGGAGTCACATATAGAGTATGTCATCATCTACTCCCGCACATGCATATCAGTTTAAATTAATAGAGGTCGATCTCCATGAATGATTTGTGTATTGAGTAATAAATAGCTAAACATTTAATAACGTTTCAATAAATTTGCACTTATTTAGAAGGGAAATTAAATGACTATTTAGTTTTCCACCATAGTATCATTATATATATAAACTATAAAGATATTTATAAAAGGAATTTTTTTTGAAATAATATTTAAAATGATGTGAAATTCCAAAAAAAAAAATCATCTACAAATAAGATCCAAAACAAAAACGTTATTCTAAATTATACTTCTCCGTCCCACAATTGAAGTCACAGTTTGACTTCACGACTCCTAGGCGGACACTCGATCATAATTATCTATAATATATAATATAATCTATAATAAATTGACATTTGAATATTACATATTACGTACAATGAAGAACATAACATTAATTTTTTGTGTGATAAAATATTGTTAATTTTGAGTGATTAAGGGTCAAAGTTTAACATATTGGACTCAAAAGTTAAAACTGAAATTTTAATTGAGGGACGAGATAGTATTATCTACAAATCAAAGAGATTTGTGTGATTAACTGTAAAATAAAATACGTACAGTTACATAGAGCCCAATTAACTTTGAGAAGATAAACAAATTAATTAAATCCATGAATAAAATAAAATAAGTGCATTGAATACCTGCAGGCTTATGTTGGATGGTGGTGTGTTGTGTTTCACTTATCATGGTTCCTACTTCCTAGCTAGCTTTTCTGTGCGCACTCCGGCCTAGCTATAACAACCTTTGGCAATTGATCGTTTTGCTCGTTTACTGCATCCATCCTCAAAGTTTCTATATATAAGGATGTATTGTGGGCTCCACCTAATGGCGTAGGATAGCTTCTGATATACGAAGTATCTCATCTTAAATTAAGGGCTTCCATTATTTTGTTTTACACTGTAATGTTTCATAGAAAACTCAAATCTTCTCATAATATTGATGTTGATGGTACTACTATTATATAAGCCTTCCGTCCCTTTCTATTTAGCCAAACACTATTTTTCAAGTCAAAGCTGTTCAATTTTGACCGATTATATATTTATACACGGTAATATTGGTAATATGAAAATTATATGAAAAATGTTCTTTGTTAAAAATACTATCAATAAAGTCTAAATTTATTAAGTTTCACATAAATATATTAGTTGAAATAATGGATCAAAGTTTATCACATTTAACAGGAAAAGTCAAAGATGGCTAAATAAAAAGGGACAGATGTAGTACACTAGTAAATATAATGTACACGAAAGTTTGATAAAAGTAATATTGAATTAAAACTCTTTGTTTTTGCACCCCAACCCCATGCCATAACTTTGTCTTTGTTTTTTGACAAAAATGTCCCTCCATGGATAATTTTGTTGACCTTCAACATATTCTTGATTGAGAACATTTTTGTTTTTTCATATGGGGTTGGGGTGCAAAAACAAAGAGTTTTAAAAACGGTGTGCAAAATCCAATTTAGACAATAATATGGGGTGCAAACTCAAATTACCCCAATTAAAAAACTACATTCCACAATTGTAAATACTACCTCTGTCCCGGTGAACTTTGTCAAGTCTGAAGTAGGTGAGAAACAATGAAAAGTAAAAATTGTGTTGTTGACACATATGCAGAGAAGAGAGAAATGAGCATAATCACAAATTAGTTACTTTAATAGAAAAGTGTCAACGTTTTTAGGGACAACTAAAAAGGGCAAATTGGCAAAGTCCAATTGAACGTGTGTATTATTTTATTCATTCATTTATATATATATATATATATATATGTATGTATGTATGTATGTATGTATGTATGTATGTATGTATGTATGTATGTATGTATGTATGTATGTATGTATGTATGTATGTATGTATGTATTCATTTTACACTAGCTAGTGATAATTACTACTAGTATATACTTATCAATTATAAATAATTGGTCACACTAGCTTTAATACAATCCACTATTTTAATTTTACTTCACTAATGTTTAAAGAAAAACCTAAAGCCTTTTGGTATACCTTGGAATTGCCTGAATCCGATAAAATTGATGAAATTGTGATCGAATCAACTGAATTGGCTGAATTTTTTAAATTATGAAAATCTAATATATTTTTTATTAATAAAATAAGAAGAATTACATAAAGCTCAAAATAAACTGAAGATTAGGATTACCAAAGAAGCTCCAATGAGAAAGAAAATACATCAACTACATTGAGATTTTGTCAACCATGAATTTAACGTAAGTGCTTATGTGGAAGGGTGAAGGGAATAAAATTAAGTCTAGCGAAAAACAAAATACAAGAGACTTTTGTTAATCACAATAATTCTTTTGTTCAATTCAATCTGAACCTTATATTACGGACTTCTAAAATACACGAGACTTTTCACCCACTTTTCAATATGGTTACTTCCTTGAGGTAGCAAAAGCAAATTTCTAAAAAGTGATTAATTAATTACAAGGATCTAATTACGATGAAAACGCTCTTAAACATGAGAAAATGAGAAATGTTCACTCAGATGTTGGGGAGCCCTCAGGATGGAACATCATCTTTTTTCTTAAATGTGAAAAATGTGAACGCTCCAAGATGAAGCACCAGACCCGATCAAAGACTTATGAAAAATAAAAACACCAACCAAAAACGGACAGTGCACACGTGATAGCGCAGGGTCACAATTCCCGCTATGCACTGGAAACGGCATTAAGTTTTCACTTGGTTCTTTTTTTTTTTAATTGGAAACTGACATATTATATTAAATTCAAACCCGCGGTACAATCAGGAAACTTGCAAACAAAAGAGTAACTCCCTCTAACCCAAAATGACCAAAAGCCCAGTGCCCCCTCACTCCTAGATCAGACATAGAATAGTTCATTCCAAAAAGACCGAGACTAATCGCAGAAAATGCAAGAGCTTCGAGGTTATTAGCGGTTGAATCAGCCTGATTGACTCAATATAGAAATCTACAACTAAAACAAACAAAAACATCAACCTACCCCCTTATTGTCCGTCTAAACTCCCAAGCAGGTCCAATCACTTGCTTGCTTCAACTCCTAACCTCGATCCAGCAACTCGCCAATCTCCTATGCCACCGACTCAGATAGACTCCGGCAAGAACCAGAATGCCGTCGCACCAAACCGAACCTCGACCAATCTCTATTTAATCTTCCATCTGAATCCTTGCAACGTTTCTGCTTTGCTCGACGAAAAGATAGCGATGCCCCAAAACTATGCGGACAAAACGCCGCCACCACTAACCCTAAGCAATATTGCCTACCCGTCCGCAGTTTAAAGAATACAAAATATGATTTTTTTTCTAGTTTTTTGAGAAACTTAAAATATTTCGCAACACAGTTTAATTGATTTTGAGTTAAAATATTTCTTTGGAGTTGAGAAAATATTGATTTTTATGTAAACTAATTTAAACGAATCGTGTAACTAAATAATTTATTTTTAAATATATTTTTATGTTTCAAAATAAAAATATTTGTACTCCCTCCGTCCCTCTATTAAGTTCCTACTTTGACCTACACACATATTTAGGAAATAAATTTGATTTTACTGTTTAGACACTGTTTGGCACTGTTTAGACATTGTTTGACACTGTTTTGCACTGTTTGACACTGTTTTGATGTAGGATAACTTTCCATTTAGGGAAATGAGAAGATTGTTTTGGGACGGTCCAAAAAGGAAAGTAGGAAGTTAATAGCGGGACGGAGGGAGTATTTTTTTAGAAGTCATAATTTTCTAATTTATTTATTTTTCCCCATCCTCTAATATGTGGGCCAGAGCCTGATAGTTAAGATGTTTTTGCTTGGATTGTTTTCAATCCCAGACCAAACCAGATTTACACATATCAGATTTGAATAGACTAGACCAGTTCAGGCCAGAACAGACCAGACGTCCACAGTTATAAAATACACAGAGACCAGACATTACCAGACCAGACCAATTCAGACCAGACCAAACCAAACTAGACCATCAAATTTCAGTCCAAGTAAAAACTTCCTTATTGCTACGGATACTACATTGACACTACCAGATGAGTCCGAACGAGACCAATCTAACTAGGCTCAATTATAATATTATCCATAGCCATTTCCATGACATTGTATACATGTGTATATCCAGAACTTACATCACACCTACTACCGTTGAGATCACTGACCAAATCCCGAAATGCTGACGCCATCGGTGACATCATATCACAGGCCAGGCAATTTCCCAAAGATGATGTCATCCCACATCAACATGACATAAGCATGTGTGTTAAATAACTATTCAAGGAACATTGGTGACTCTCTCATTAGCTGACAATTTACTTTTGCCTATAAAAAACTATACCTCCCCGGCCTTACCAAATTTTTATGTAATGTTATTCTGTCAAATTTATTATACAACTTTTTCATTCTAGATATTTTGCTTGAATTTCTCTCTAAATATTTGTTACCATGCTCTATTAACCATTGATTAAATTCAACTCAATAATGTAATTAATTTACTTTTGGTATCCCAAACATATTTTTTTGGCATTTAAAGTCAACAATGACCAATGTGTCTTTTGATTGAAGCACCAGACATACTTTTGCATGTTAAAAAAAAGGTAAGAGCCTCTTTGAGTTACAGATAAACCTTAAGCTGCAAATTAACCTTTCCCACATACACCCACACAATCAGAGGCGGCTTTTGGGGGAGTTGGGCAAGGCAAGTGCCTTGGGCCTCACATTCCAAGGGGGCCCCAAAAAAAATAAAAAAACCTATTAGTATTACCTATTATTTACTACTAATAATAAGAATTAATTAATTATCTGGGTTGTGGAGTCTGAAGGTCTGATTTAGGGGCATACAGCTCCGACAAGTGAACGACCAATTCCATCCGCCGAACTGCCGATTTGCCTAAGACTTGAAGAAATCCGATGTTCTGAAGGAGTGTTGACTGATTCCTGCGCCGTGCCGCCCTGGTGGGTCTGCCGCCTGCTTTTCCCGGAATCCGATCGGTGACTTCTGTGAGTTTTCACTCTGATTTCTCTAATTCCTGTCCTAAATAATGAAATACGTACTCCAAACTCTAAAGAGCTTAAGGAGTAAAGGCTATGAATAATTGTTGAGCAAAAATGTGGACAAACAAAAAAGGCAATTTTTTAAGACCGCATAATGGAATAATGAAATACGATAAAGGCATAAAGCCTAGTAAATATTTGGCAAACAAGTGGGCAAAAAAAGGCAATTTTTTTTCTTTTAGAGGCTAGATCCCAGTTACTAGTTACTATTGTACGGAAAATGTTATTCTATTAGTGTATTACTACGTATTAGATATTTAGATGAATAAGATCATAACTGATTAACTGATAAATTCATTATACATAAAAATGATTAATTTGATGGTATTGATAGTAGTAAAGTAGTTATTTTGTTTAATTTGTCATTGTATTTAGAAGAATAGAAGTTTGTTTAAGTAGGCAACTTGTACTTTTAAGAATAAGTGGTTTTGGTTTACTCTTTGTTAAAAGTATAAGTATGATGTGTGTTTTGCAAATGTTTATATTATTTCATTTTAAAACTTATCCTTTTGAATATTAAAAATATTATATTGTACACTTTGAGTATGTATTTTTTTTAATGTTGATGTTTTTTATTCAATTTATCTCTTTTCAATACAATTTTTGTGGCATTTTTTTTGTCTAGGGCCTCCGAAATGCTGAAGACGCCCCTGCACACAATGTATTACTCCATAGTAATTCAAGCTAGTATTTTTTACCCGTATCATGCACAAGATAAAATATAA